ATGGAGGTAGAGATCTGTTCTTGACATGCCTCTAAAAGTAGATGTCATACTCTCTTTGTCTCTTCAATGTCAAAAAAAACTTTCCTTTGAGAGGCAAATTTAGTTTTTTGGAAAGAAAAAAAATCACAAGAAGACAAATTTGAAGAACATGCAGGACGATTGAGTACACATACTTATTTTCGAAATACATGCGGTTCTCCGATTGCTTATTGAATAATGAAAAGATGCATTATCATGCAATACAAAACATTTGGAATGCTTTTTTTTGACTGAATAACGTAAGATTAAAAGTCATCTGCTTAATTCACAACCATTTACAAGTCAACTACTCGGGCAATTGCATAATCGTTTTGATTCTGAGCTTCTAAGACAAACCTAATATCACTGGATTTAAACACTTCTTTAATTTTCCGAGAACATTCCTTCTTTAGCTCACATTCCAAGAATATTAAATTCCTTCTTTAGCTCATATTCCATGAATATTAAATTCCTTCTTTAGCTCATATTTCAAGAATATTAAGTGAATACAATTATTGCAAAAGAAATTGAATATTCATTTGCACTACGGCTTGGTAGTTTACTAACAAGTTAACAAAACTTAAATTCTGCTTTTTGTGTCTAAGAATACAACAATATTTTAAATATTTACAAATAAAATATTAAATTGGAGATAACAAATAAAATTAATTGAAGCCTCACCAGTTGCATAGCATTTGAAGATGGTTAAATATTAATTGTTTGTTGCGAAGTCTAACCCAGCCTGCATGGTTGGTTTTCGTAGTTTTCTAGGTTCTCTTTACAAAGGTCCTCTATGAAAGCATCTTAACCAAAATTTCTTTCTATGTTCAAATAACACATTTTAAGCGCGATTTCCAAGTGACGTTACTAGCAAAACCCGAATACTCATTAAAAATCATGCAGCTTGCCAATCGGGAATATCATAAAAGAATACGGCGCCAATAATTGAATTGCTGTTATGGTACGCTGTTTCTAAACTTAGATGGTTATTCTCTAATTAAATATAATTGATTTGTAACTTCTACTAGAGCTGACGGTAAGAATTGAAGTGCAAATAAATAATATCGTGTGCAATCTTGATTAATATAAAATTAGAAATATTTGCATTCAGACAGAAAGTTTTTTGAAATACTTTACAATTACTTTACAAGAATTTATTAATAATTGTAATAATTACTGAATATTATACTGATGATTAGAATTCAGTTCTTGACAATTACATTTTAAATTAGAATTTTAAGGATATAATAAAAATACACTTTAGGATAAAAAAATGAGTTGATTTTTTAAACTTTTTAAATTCATTTAATAAACATCGAACCCTTGTTGTTGATTGAATCTAGAATTTCAGAGTCGTTTATATAATTATTCTTACTTGTCCACAGAACATCGATGACTGTAAAACGTGTTTTGGAGCTGTCCTGACAATACTGGCAAATCAAGTGCATTTCAATACTTCATCAAGTGTCGTCGTTATTCACTCCAAATCCACACGAACCCCGTACGAACGTGAAGGAAGAAAATAACGTAACAGTGTCAGAAGAATAAAAAAATGCAACATCATTGTTATTCACAAATTTTCATGAAAGATGAAAAATATTTGATTTTTCCCTTGAAATTTTTAGTGTCATTCAGTAAGCACCTGCAATTAAACTCATATGGCACTCTCTAATTAATGTGAAATTATATATATTCTTTGAAAAAGATTGGGCTATGTTCTTAGAATCTATGAAATAGTGAAACGTTTGGTATGAAACGATAAAAATCTTGCATGAAGTTCAGTACATATTCACTCTATTATTGAAGATCTCTTCCTAAATTCTGAAATAGTGATGTTTTTACTCTTATTATTTTCAAAATTTGGTACTTCATGTATTAAATAACTGTATAGATGTACTAAACTTTATCGAAAATTCAAATATTTTATTAATTGGTTGGTTTTATTTAAATGGTTTAGAAGTCAATGAGTGGTATGTTAGGCAGTTTCTTTCAGAAATATATCCGTATTTGAAAACTTTGATGATAATTTGCCTTACTGAAATTGTTTTAAATTTTTAAAAATATATGGGTGATATGATGCTATGTTATCATCTAGAGTGTCTTTTCACTTTGCAAATAGTGTATAGAGTTATAATAGAAATTGAATCTTCTTTCTATAGCAGAATTTATTAGTATTTCTAGAAAAACAATTAGAAAAAAAAAAAAAATGTTTTTGTAAAAAATAATGTATTATCTGGTTGTCATTATGGTAGAAAGTGTTATTCAAAAGTTTCAGAGTGGTAAAATGTGATTTTTGAAATGACGTTTTCTTAAAATAAGTATTTTCAATATGTATTTCTCAATATTATAAATTAAAATAGTCAAAACTAGAAGTTTTTTACACAATGTGAGCATGAAAGCCATTGAAAAATCTGTTGCAGTCATAGAAAATTTAACTCCAAGATGAGAATTGTTACTTGCATGATTAAACAATATCAAAATTTGGTTTGAAACTAAATCACAGAGTGCTACATATAGACGTGATCGTAATTGTTTCAAGGTCTTTTAGTAGAAGATATACTGTTAAGTAAAATTATTTTCCTTTTCCGATGAAAGTAAGTCTAAAGCTAAATCTTTGGAAAAGTGAGATATTCAGATTTTCGTCTGTTAGGAGAAATGCGCATGCCTACATAACAATAAAATAGGAGTATCACTGAATTTTCTTGTTACTTACAAAAGGGTAGATTTAGAAAATAAAGAAAATTTCTAAAAACGTTGGTTCATTACCTTACTCTTACTTCTTAAAAGTTGATAAGTTATAAGAAAATTCTTTTTAACCTTATACTGCTTATAGGAAATAATTTGTTACTCAGGTTTTATATTAATGCATTACAATATTTTACATCTCGTTTAAGTATTGGTAAGGTTTTACTGTTCCTGTGGGATTTTCATAGCATGTACGTGGATATTAATTGCATTTTCCTTAACAATGTTTGGGGATAATTTAATAATGTATCACATATTCTTTTCTTTTAAAAATCCTAATTGAAAGTTAATTAAAATTATTTGGATTAGTATTAAATGTATGTAAAGTGCTAATTGTACTACAGGAGGAGTCATGACTTTCTGTGCACACTGACAAGGGCAGATAAAGTGAACTTCAGGTTTTTCCCACTGATAGTAAATCTGGAGCCAATAAAAATATGTTAAGACTCATTTTTAGGTAAATATATTGCTTTCTATCACACATTTTCTAAACATTTGTTGGGAATTCTGGGTAAATAACTTAATTCGGTAAAGGTTATATCCTCATTTGGGTAAAACCTTAAAAATTCTATAGTGAAAAAAATGCTTATTTCATATTTAGTTCCTAATATTAAGAAAATAGTTCTGAGATAGTTATTCTGTACTGTGGGAATACTGCAGGAAAAGTTAAATGATTTATATGGTCTTTGGAATTTTTCTCTTAGAAAGAGGTAATATTTAGCAAATTAGATTTCTTGAAAATGGACAGAAAGTTCCTATAATGCAAATATATATGTACAATTATAAGAAAACATAACACTTATTTGGGTGTAATTTTGTATTGAAAATGAGTTATTCCTCATTAAATGTGTATTAGTAAGGAATATTTAACTGCTATGATGAGTATTATACAAAGAAATTTCTGTATTTGTGATGAAGAAGAAGGTTAAAATATTTGAAATTATAGTGGAGGATTTGGGTAAAATGTGTCTTACTCTTACTTTCTTTGGTTCCTTCTGTAAATATAGGTATATTGGTAATGATATATGTTGTGCTTCACAAGATTTCATTCATAAGAAAATTAATTGGTAAATAAATTAGTGCAAACTGACATTAGTGAAAGAGCATCCTAATCTAAGAAATTAAAAATAGTTATATATATGAAATTATCTAGCGAATTAAAGTTGGAACTGGACTAAGTTAAAAAAAAAAGTGTGTTAACATTATGCGTTTGAAATAAACGTATATCAATTTAAAAAAACTTTCAAGAGATGAAATGGTAACCAATGGGTAAAATCAATGGTCATTCATCTCTGATTCCATACTGGAAATGTTACCTTAGAAATTTCTCTTGTACATGTAACGTAAATAATCGTCAATTTCACATGAAAGTCGTTCATGAGGGCAGAAATATCCGTACTTGTGTAGGAAAAGGTAATAAAGTTAAAAAGGGCCATTCCCACTGGGGTTTATCTGAGCTAACGGAGTCAGTTCAATGTGTCGACTAGCTCCACTATGCCTGCAGTTTCGATTTTTCAACTTGCTGCCCTATTGGGAAAAACTGGTTTTGGAGATACATCAGCTGTGTCCGTTAGCTCAAATAAACCACAATGGGAACAGCCCTTATAAAAGACTGAAACATTTGAAAAGGTTTGCTTGAAAGGAAGGGAAACAGGAATGTTACTTTTACCCCTTCAATTGTCATTTCAATGTGAAACTACTACTCTTTTGAAACATTTCTCCTTTGGGGTGTGCGCCTTTGTTAATTTTCAGATAACAGACTAGGGCAAAGGCGCAAAGGGCATCAGACGAGTGACAGAGAAAGTTGTGTCCGACAATGACTAGTTGAATCTGCCCCCGCACCTTGAAGGGTGAGGGGGCAGAATTTCTCTGACCGATATTTGGCTCAGAGCCATTTTTCTGAAACCCTGCAAATCTGACCTACATTTCGGCCACAATCTTCAAAGTGGACTATGTTGATATTTTGCTCAATATAGAAAAACTTCGTGTAGAGTTCGTTAAATTTCTTGAGATTGCTTGGGCAATCTTCTTATTGTGTTATAGGATGCTGTGCTGTAGGAGGGTTCTTGCAATTTATGATTCATGTTATAGCAAAACCGTGTTACAGGATGCCATGTTGTAGAAGGGCTACCTGTAATTCAAAACAAGCAAGTCAAAACTGAATCTTTATTATAAGAAAAGTCACTGAGTAAATCACTTTTTATGACTTTGATAAGATTAGTTATGATGAATGCTAATTTACTCTATGATTCATATTTATTAATAAACAAAATGTATACAAAAATTATAAATTTCAAACAAAGGAAATTGTAGAAAAAATGCAGTCATCTGTTTCATCTTTCCTTTCTTTCTTTTCTTCGTGATGCTCCAAGTGTCTTAGAACAACTTTTTTTAGGTGTTGGCAATAAAGGTGAAGCATTTCTTCCTTGCATAAATGATGAAGTAGGCTCATGTGGAACTGTGACTGAATTTGTCTAAAAAATTCATTAAAAGTATACAATATAGTTCTCACTGCTGATAATTAATATTTCAAAAATAAATTAATTCAAAAATTAAAACTCCAGAACACTGAAATTTCTTGTATGTCTTGTTCATTCCCTATACACTGAAACACGGGCTATAGATTAGTCCACATGATGATTTTAAATACTATATTATTTTAAATAAATTAAAATACTGGCTCATAAATGTGAATGCATAAACACAGAGAAGGCTAAATTGGACAAGGCTTATTAATTTATAAAGAAAGATGCCTTTACATTAAAATCAGAAAATTTAAAATCTTGGTTACTTTGAACAAGTTCTGAACAACCGTGAAATACAAAGAAATGACTTCCAAAGTACTTAACAATAATTTAAACTTCTGGCAATGGAAATAGCTTCACTAATTAAATTTATTTGTTACAAGGTGAGCACATGATTTTGCATTTTTCAACTTCCCCCTCCTATTCTATATATTTTTGGGGGGAGGGGGGAGTTTCTCTGCATTGATACCAGCATGATTCTATCACGAAACAGAATAAATATGTACCACCATTAAATAAAAGAATGCTCTAAAAACCTTTAAAATAGGCTTCTGTTAGTATTTTTTTCCACTTGGGGTGGGGAAAATAAATGTCATATGATTAATGCTATGCTAACACATATATGAAGCAAAATTAAGCAAAATTAAACAAATAAAGTTCAATCTACAGGAATGTCTGAATTACTGGAAACATACATAGCAAATTATGAAAGAAAAACAGTAAAAATTTTATGGAAAAAAAAAAAAACAGGCAGATTTCAGAAATTTCATCATTTGCTTCATATTTTGATAGTCAGCTTACTGTCAGCTTACATATTATGCTTCCAGCAACAAAAATTTTTTGTTAGTTTTGCAGAGCCATTAGTTTATTTTGAAACAGGAAACAAAAAATATACAATGCCCTTCCCAGGATCCCTCAAATATGCACCGAGTGTGCTATCGTTAAACCACAAAGGCATGCTGGAAGGAGGGAGAAAATAACCTTATATATTCTCCCTTTTAAAGGGTGACCAGTCTCCAAATCTTGGTGGTGACAAATTATCAGAAACCACCTTTTAGTTTTGGTGCCACTGTAGAGCCATTAGGCCATTTTGGCAGAAGACATGAAAAATGTACAATGCCCTGGCCGGGACTTGCCTGACTTCTCAAATACAAATGCACAGCGAATGTGCTACCATTAGACCACAAGGCATGCTGGAAGGAGGGAGGAAATACCTTACAGTTTGAACATCACTATGTGAATTATTTTGCATCATTTTGACCTAAGGTAACTTTATTTCTATACTGCTGCTTATAGTGCATATCATTTTCTTTGATTTCTTTGTATTGGGTGTAGTTATTAAAAAGTGCACAACTGAGGTGACTTTTCCTATAATCTCCCATAACTCAGATAATTTCAGGAAAAATCATATGAAGAATAAAACTATTGTAATTTTCAGCAAGTGAAAGAAAAGTGTACAGATTTTTGAATTCATAATAATTGATTTCTTTTACTTCCAAATTTTTAAATGTCGAAAGAACAGAAATGTTATTGCAATTATATATACAGTACAAAGTCCGTAATCCGGACGTCCATCATCCAGAATGATCTATAATGCGGACCTCAAAGCCACAAACCTTTTTTAAAATGCTTTACTCATGCGCATTTAATGCATAATGGAATGTAAAAGCTAGGCTAAAATTATCTTTATTGATTCTAAGGCATTTCAGTTAATGTTGCAGTTTGCACTGTTCCTTAATCTTCTAATTGGATCCAGCTTATTATTTTTTTGCAGACTATTAGAGCAATTTTATAAAAGTTAAGCTTGAACTTTTGATTATGTCAAAAAGAGTTTCCAATTGTGGAGCTGCCAAAGGATCTACAATGCAAAAGCATGTTTCAATGTCCATCCAAACAAAAGGGGAATTGCTGCAAAAAATGAAAGGCATATCCATCTCAAAATTATGCGAGGAGTATGACATTGGAAAGTCAACTGTATATGACATAAGCAAAAAGAAAAAGAAACTTTTTGAATTTTTTATGGATTCCGACACACCCACTTGCAATGAATAACAGAAAAACGGTTCGTTATGCTAAAAGTGACGATCATGACAAAGTGATGATTGAATGGGTCAGACAGTGTCGCAGCGAGGGCGTGCCATTGACAGGTCCAATGCTAATGGCTCACACCAAAATATTTCATCAAGAAATGAACTTAGACACTGAGTGCACATATTCGACAGGATGGTTAACCAAATTTAAAAAAATTGCCGTGGTATAAGACAACTAAAAATTTCAGGTGAAAAAGCTTTAGCTGATACTGAAGTTGCTGAACAATCTGCAGATGAATTCATTAAACTCATTACTAGTGAACAATTATCTCCAAAACAAATTTACAATGCTGATGAAACTGGTCTTTCCAGGCAATATGTACCGTGAAATACCTTGGCAACCTCTACAGAAAAGGCTCCAACTGGTATCAAAGATTCCAAAGCGAGACTTAACAATTTTAGCGTGTGCAAATACTGCAGGAACGCACAAGTGCAAACTTTTCATAATAGGAACAAATGCACGACCTCGAGCATTTAAAGGTGTAATGATTTTCCCTTTTATATATCGTGCAAATAAAAGAGCATGGATGACACAAGTGTTGATGAATGATTGGTTTGAAAATCTTTTTATACCCGATGCTCGGCACCATAATAACAAGTAAGACAATAACTTGCTTTAATATGCAGAGATAATTTTTAAAGGTGAGCGAGCGGTTAGTTACAAATAATTAAATTAGGCAGTTAAATACCCTTAATCATTATAGATTTACATGACCACTATTAAATTTTATTAATTTTTCAAAAACATTTGTTGAAAAACCATTATTAAAATCACAATCTCTTTTCACAGTTTAAAAGGCATGTAATTTTAAACTGTCAGTTTTAAATCAATGTCATAACATTGATTCTTAAATGTGTATTAGTGCGATTTCATATTAAAAGCTACAAAACATTTACTTGATCTGGTAAAAGTTAAATAGTTCAAAACCTCTTATAGACATGAACTTAGAACATACAGGCACATTCCTATGTTGACAAAATCAACTACAGCTTGTGGTAATGCAATTACAGGAACAGTCAAATTCAAACTAAAAATGTGGACTAGTAGTCAAAGACTATACAATTTAATTTTAATCTAAGCTGGCTCAGTAACTCTATTGCCATAACAAATTCCACTGTTAGCGCCAAATACGCAAAGATGAATAATTACAAATTATCAGAGCTGGCAGAAACTAATGCAACATCCAAGTGGGGGGAGGGGCAAAAACACTGTCTTTCAGTCCTAAAACCCAAGTTTAAAAACTATCTGATTTGCATTATGGTGAGGAAATGGAAAAGGGAACTTATAGTAAAGGCCAAAATTATAAAGAACTGGTTAATTTGCATAATATTGTATACATCATCAAATAATAAGTTTCTTTTTTCAAATCATTTCCTCTTTAAAATATTTGGAATTAATTAAAGATTTCTGTTACTCTAAAAAACCAAATGCATTTAAAATAAAAAGAAAAAGCTGATAAATATGAAATGATGTATAGTAAGGGTTAAGTTCAGGGACAATGAGGCAGAATTTTGAGAATTTAGTGATACACCGAACAGCAAAATCTAGAAATAGCAAAACTTTTAGAATTTAGGACAGGCAGTGGGAACCGAATTTAGGATCCATGAAAATTGCATCAGGTGGGAAAATGCCTTGTGCCAGCTCTTTGTATGATACATTGAGACATATAAGGTGAACCTTTTAAATTTTCAGTTTTCAATTTCTTTATTAATAGAAAAATTCTTTTTTTATAAATGACTGTCCATGCGAAAAGATTAGAAACATTTTTTATAGTTTCCATACTTGTGTCTAGTAACATAAAAATCCTAAAGAAATATTAGTCCTACCAATTCTGCAAGAGAAAAAGAGGCTAAAAATATTTTGAAAAGAAAAAAAAAAAAAAAAAAAAAAAAAAATCAGTAGAAAAAGTGTAAAATTAATTTTTGAATATTCTGAGACAATTCTTACCATGCAAAAATTAAAAGGAAGAAATTTTTAATTAATTGCATAGCTATTTTGCTTTTGCTATGAATTTTGTAAACTGTGCTTTACTGTGTTACTGTGTGCTTTACTTTGTAAACTGTGCATGCATTAGCTTGTTTATTTTTCAGATTCAAAATACTACATAATAAGTCGCCAAAATGGAAAGTAATGCTACTTTATAATATGACAGCAAAAGAAAATAAAAATGTTTTATTCTAATGTTATTCCTTAAATGCTTGCAAAAAAAAAGAGGGGGATTTAAAAATTCCCAGATCTCCAAAAATTAAAAATTTCTATAGAAATTAATCTTAAAAACCATCAAAATGTCGATAAGTCGTCAAATTTAGAGCTGTTTAATGAAAGAATTCGCATCCCCAAAAGCAGAAAGTTATTTAAATAGTCTTCATTAGAAAAAAATTAAATAATTTTGAAATGCTTATGTTCGACTCCTTGCTCAGAAACTCCGGTATCTCACCCTTTACAATAGAAACAGGAACAAATTATACCCATGAACCCATTCAAAAGATAATATTTGTCAGTGTCAAAAATATTTCTCCATAATGATAATTCACACTCAAAACAACATTCATAAAAACAAGACAGAAATTTCAGATGATTAAAATTAAAGACCTTCTGCCGATTTTGGCTGAAATTAAGGACTTTTAAGGACCAAAAATAGATTCCAAAAAACCTAAGGACTTTTAAGGACTATACGAACTCTGGATAGGAAGAAAAAGTGAATTACATAATTGTAGAGTATCATCGATTTAGTACCTTGTAGGCATGAATACTAAAAGCAGAAGGCTGAAAATGCACATTTGTTTCTTCGCGATTTCCGAAACTGTAATGTCATGAAACTTGAACAAAAGGAGAAAAGATTATCTTTCGGATGAAAA